TTCTTTTTTCTTGTCTGAAACTGAGATTTGAATTCCATACCTGATGTTTTCACTCATTGGCTGGCATTCTATCAACTAAGCCACACCTCCAACTTCGATAAGACTGATTTTTAAGGAATACATTTTATAAAAATAAATAAAATATTAAAAATACCTAACTCAGGGCTTACCAGGTTGTAAAGCAATGGCAATAACATTTTATATATATTTACTTAATCCTCACACCAACCCATGGGCTCCCAACAGGGAGTTAACTTGTTTACTCAAAGCCACATAGCTAATAAGGCACAGATTTTTAACTAAAATAGAACCACATATATTTAGTTTATGACAAAGGTGAACTTCAAATAAAGACGATAATGATAACCAAATCAACAAATGGTGCTGCACTGATTGCTCATGTAGAGAAAAAGTTAGAGTTTTACTTCCAACAATTCACAAAACTTGACTCGAGAAAAAGAGCTAAATATTTAATTTGTAATCAGGTTTTAGATAGGAGGTATGAAAGGGAGTTCTTATCTAAAATATTAGATACAAAAATTATTTTTAAAAAAGGCTGAAAATGTGGTTTAGTGGTACAGTGTATGCATGAAGCCCTGGGTTCGATTCCTCAGTACCACATAAACATAAAAAGCCAGAACTGGTGCTATGGCTCAAGTGGTATGGTGCTAGCCTTGAGCAAAAGAAGCTCAGGGACAGTGCCCAGGTCCTGAGTTCAAGCCCCAGGACTGGCAAAAAAAAAACAAACTATAAAAATTACAAAGGTGCTGAGTATCAGTGGCTCACTGTTCAAAGCCAGCCTGGGTAGGAAAGTCCATGAGACTCTTATCTCTGATCTCCAATTAACCACCAGAGAACCAGAAGTGGTGCTGTGGCTCAAGTGGTAGAGCACTAGCCTTGAGCTGAAGAGCTGAGGAACAGTACCCAGGTACAGAGTTCAAGTCCCACGACCAAAAAAATAAAAATATTACAAAGGCCAGTGGCTCACGCCTGTAATCCTAGCTACTGAGATCTGAGGATTGCAGTTCAAAGCCAGCAGGCAGGAAATTCTGTGAGACTCTTTATCTTCACTTAACCACCAAAAAAAAAAGCCAGAAATGGAATGGGGATTAAAATGGTAGAGCACTAATCCTGAGCACAAAAGGTCATGGCTAGCACCTAGGCCCTAAATTCAAGCCCTAGTACCAGCTACAATTTTTTTTTTTGCTGGTCCAAGGGCTTGGATTCTGTTCTTGAGCTTCTTTTGCCCAAGGCTAGCACTCTACCACTTAAGCCACACAGCCACTTCTGGCTTTTTCTGTGATTCATTGGAGATAAAGAGTCACATGGACTTTTCTGCCTGGGCTGGCTTCAAACCACGATACTCAGATCTCAGCCTCTCAAGTAGCTAGCATTACAGGCGTGATCCACCAGCACCTGTCATTTTTCTTTTCTTTTCTTTTTAAAGGAAAATATTAACTTCTAAATGGTTTAAAAATTAACTCTTCACTTAAATCATATCCACTTCACATACAAGTCAGAAAAAAATACAAAGGCATAACTGGTTAATTTGGGGGGAGAGTTGTTATGTGCCTTGTATATGCTAGGAAAGCTATCTGTCACTGAGCTTCAAAATCCTTTTCCTTTTGTTTACATTAGGGTTTGAAATCAGATCCTTGTGCTTGCAAATCAGGTGTTCTACCACTTGAAGCACTGTCAGCTACTTTTTCTTTGCATTATTTTTGAGATAGAGTCTCACTTTATGCTTAGGCTGGCCTGGATTGCAATCTTCCTATTTGTGCTATCCTTTGCTAATAGGAGAACAGGCATTGAATACCTGTACCAGTTACTGCCCAGTTAGTGGTTGAGATGGAAGTCTCAAGAAATTTATGCCTGGACTGTTCTCAAACCTCAATTCCTCCAATCTTGATTCTTAAATAGATAAAATCATAGACATGAGTCACTGTGCCTAGCAAAAATCTGATCTTCTACATGCTAAAATACAACAAAGAAAACATTTTTTTTATAAATTAAGAGTGAAGGAAAGCACTGAAAGTGGCTGCCTATGCTCTAGTTCTGGGGCAAGGATTAGTTGATGGTTTAATAAAGCACAAGGTGATCAAAGTAGACACAGAAGGGTGGGAAAAGGGGGAAAGATAAACAGGAACAAATCATGGAAAACTGCAAGGAAGATAGCTAGAAGTTAGGATTTCACTATATGTGTTATAAGACTCCACCAGAGGCTGTAAGAGGAATGAATAATTCAAGTAGGCCTGGAGTCATACACTTGCAATCCCAGCATTTAAGAACTCAAGGCATACCTTGCCCATGTAATTGTAATCCCTCTGTATGGTATTTTCACAATTAAAAAGAAGAAAAAGAACTCAAGGCAGTAAGTGGCGCTGTGGCTCAAGTGGTAGACCATTCCCCTTGAGCTGAAGATCTGAAGGACAGCGCCCAGGCCCAGAGCTCAAGCCCCACGACTGACCAAAAAAAAAAAAAGAACTCAAGGCAGAAAGACTCAGAGTTCATAGCCAACTAGGGTATACAGCAAGTTCCAGGCCAGTCTAGAGTTCTCAAAAAAAAAAAAAAAAAGAGAGCAAGCAATAGATTAGACCTCCTGTTGTAAGTTAATCCCTCAACTTTGATTCAGAAAAGGACATAGGAAGTGAGGTAAGGAGTCTTCCAGAAGACTTGGACACTTCAGTGATGAATGACTGGTAGCACTAGAATAAGAGTTGCCCTGTTCTTGCTTTTCCCCAGTGAAGCTTAACTATATGAAGGCCTGCATAAATATGAGACAAAAACTATATTATTGTCAACATATTCAGAACATATAAAAATGTGCTCCAACACTAAAGCCCTTGCTTTCTCGGCCAGGTTTTCATCTTTTTCTTTTTTGTCGGTGGTGGGGCCTCAATTCTGGGCCTAGGCACTGTCCCTCAGCTCTTCAGCTTAAGGATAGTGCTCTACCACTTGAGCCACAGCACCACTTCCGGCTATTTTTGCTTTTGTGGTGCTGAGGAATTGAACCCAGGGCCTCACGCATGCAAGGCAAGCACTATACCACTGAGCCATCTTCCCAGGCCCCAGGTTTTCATCCTATTTAACCATATGTATATATCTAGCAGAGTACCTATAGATCAATTTTAAAATCCCAATAGAAAAATGAACGAGCTTGCCTAGAAAACCTAAGTCCCCAAGTTCCGCTACAATTTTTTTTAAGAATATATAGGCAAATCATAAAAAAGGAATAAAGAAGAGATGGTAAATATGTAAAATAAACTAAAATACCTCTTGCTGTAAGATTTAAAAAGCTGACAAGTCAGACAGCAGTTGTATGCCTGTATCCCTAACTACTCAGGAGGTTGAGATCTGCAAAATCACAGACCGAAGCCATCCAGGGCAGAAAAGTCCATGAGACTCCAGCAAAAGGCTGGGCTAGAGGTGTGGCTAAAAGAGGTAGGTACCAATTGACCAAGTAAGTCAAGTGAATGTGATACTCAAATTCTAGTACTACCAAAAAAATGTGGATAATATTGTGTCACTGTGAGGAAACAGGTATTCTCATATACTCCTTAAACATTTTCCCTTTAGGAGGGGCTTTGGCATTTATCTTGTACATAACCTTCAACTCAGCAGGCCTATAAGCTTTAGAATGATATTAGCAAGCATTATGGGCCCTAGGGTTATGACAAGATTTTTCACTGAAGTATTTTGTTAGTAACAAACAGCTGATTAACTGGTTAACTGGTTAACTAAAGTTAACCAGTTAAACAACTGGTTAACTAAAGTTAACCAGTAGGGAACAATTAAGATACACATCAATGCTAAAGATGCTAGACAGCAAGTATATCTCTATTTATTGGTTAAGTACATCTCTATGTACTAATCTTGTAAGATATCCAAGCTACACCTATTAAAAATATTCACCTTGATGGGTGCTGGTGGCTCATGACTATAATTCAAGCTACTGAGATCTGAGGGTCATGGTTCAAAGCCAGCCCAGGCAGGTATGTTTGTGAGCCTCTTATCTCCAATTAACCACCGAAAGCCATAAGTAGAGCTGTGGCTCAAGTGGCAGAGAGCTACCTTTGAGCAGAAAACCTCAGGGACAGCACCCAGGCTTAGAGTTCAACACCCAGGACCAGCACATACAAAAGGAATCCATCCATCCATCTGTACAAGTATGACATATCAAAAGAAAAGGTATACAAGAAACTGAGGAATTTTTGCTTTCTCGGGTTTAAATCTTGGTCAATATTGGTGTAATTTATGAAATACTAATAAAATTTCTTACATTATATAAAACAGAGCTTTATACTATTATATTCAAATCTTACCTTAAAAAGGATTAAATTTTTAGGACTCGTTTTCTAGATGTAAAAGTCCTTTGAATGATCAGTGCAGTTGTCCTTCAGTATCCAAGGGAAATTGCTTCTAGTACTCTTATCCCCAACCAAAATTTGTGGATACTAGTCTCTTATATAAATAGTCTCTTATATATTTGTATATAACCTATATTCATGATCTTATATACCTGGAATCATCTCTAGACCACATGCTATATCTAATACAAAATAAATTCTGTTACAATATGGTTTTGGTTAGGGGAAAATAACAAGTAAAAAGTCTGTACATGTTCTGTACAGATATAACTTTTCCCAAATACGTGGAAAGCTGACTGTATACCTCTGCAGGGAGTTCTGGCTAATACAGAACATAAACAAATACTGGCGATAGAAGTAAATAAGCGGGAGAGAAAGAGTTGCCAAATTAAGAATTAGATGTTACTAAAAACAGATGACAGCTCATTAAAGAGCTACTAGCTCTGTGAAAGCATAATCTCTAATTCATACATCAACCTGTGAGATATCCCCATTTTACAGAATAAGAAAACATGGCTAAAAGAAACTATCAGGCTTAACGTTCATTACTGGCTGCTCTTTCCTGGGACTGGGGTTGAGATTGGAAGTCAGGGGATCCCTTCTAGCTGGCTGCTCATAATTAGCTGTCCTTACTATATTCTGCGTCCTTGAAGCATGCTCCCAAGCTGTCCTGTTCATCCAGACTGGCATTTTCCTCTTCCTCGCTCTCAGGTTTCCAGTATGCTGGCCGCTTGATGGGTCGTTTCCCTGGGACACGCTGGGAAGCTGGACTACTAGACACAGTGCCCAGACCACTACTGGAGCTTGCACTGCTTCGTTCCTGCCCCCCAGTCCACCAGGCCTGCAGGCTGGAGGTAGCTGGGGAAGACGATGAGGACTGCAGATTGGCCATGCACAACATGCCCTGGATAGCCTCTTGAGTGCTAGGCGAGGCTGGAGCCTCACTGTAAGGGACAGAGGAGAAATGCTGAAGGAGCTTCTGTAGTTAATGGGAAGAAACCAACCAGTTATCAGAACAGTGAGGAAAGGGGAATAACAACAATAGGGTCCAATGTGGAAGGAGAAAATCATCTAAGGTGGAAAACTAGAAATCAAGCTACCTGATCAAGACAGTAACAAAGACTGTTTTCAAGAAAAGCAGTCCTCCTTGCCAAAATGCTCTCTATAAACAGCAGAAAATGTGGCAAAAATGGGGGTTTCTCCTTTCTGTTGATCCATGTGCACTCTCCTTAAAAAAAACTTTATTAGTGTATTTCAATTTGTCTCACTTTGGAATTTCCATACATATGTATATTATACTTTGATCATACTAACCCCATTTATTGTCCTTTTTCCTATTGTTCCTCCCTCAATTTTTTTCTTTTATGCTGGTCCTGAGGCTTGAACTCAGAGCCGGGGTACTGTCCCTGAGCTTTTGTGCTCAAGGTTAGTGCTCTACTCCATGAGCCATAGCTCTACTTTTGGCTCTTTGGTGGTTAATTGGAGATAAAGAGTCTTACAGACTTTCCTGTCAGGGCTGTCTTTGAATCATAATTCTCAGATCTCAACCCTGAGTAGCTAGAATTACAGTTGTGAATCACTAGTACCTGACTCCTCCCCCAGTTTTTAAACAGATTTTGTTGGGCTTCATTATACCATCTTCTTACATAGTTCTCTTTCTGACTCTTCTAGCTCCTCTTGCAACTACTAACACTCACTCCCTGCCAGATCTTAAATTTCTCAAGACAAGTTTCATGTCTACCTTATTCTTTCAGCCCAATTGTCTTAGATAATGCTTGGTCTGTTTACATGGCTCTCAGTAAGCCAAACTTGGTGGTGCACATCTGTAACATCAACACTAAAGAGCTGAGACAAGAGAACTTTGAGTTCAAGGACAGTCTGAGACATATAATGAGACCATGACTCAAAAATAACAGAAATAGGGCTGGGAAGGTGGCTCAGTGGTAGAGTGCTTGCCCTTCATGCATGAGGCCCTGGGTTCAATTTCTCAGCACCACGTAAACAGAAAATGCCAGAAGTGGCGCTGTGGCTCAAGTGGCAGAGCACTCGCCTTGAGCTGAAGAGCTGAGGGCCAGTGCCCAGGCCCAGAATTCAGGCCCCACCACCAAAAACAAAAACAAAACAAAAAAACAGAAATAAATACATAAATAAATAAAATTTTAAAATGGCTCAGTATCTGCTGATTGGCCTAGCCCTTTGCACAGGCGGAGTGTAATGTTAAATACTAGCCTGTAAAAACAAAATGAAAGCCAATACTCACGTGAGGGCAGTATAGTCAGGTCCCCCCACCTGCCTGCTGGCCTTAAGTAGATCAAGAATTCCACCAGCTCCACTTCCATTCCCAAGCTTGCCTTCAACCCCTTCCACCATGTCCTCATCGGTTGTATAGTCTTCCTGTTGGTTAAAAAAAGTCTATCACCTCACTTGTTCAGGATTGATCTAGTTAATCTCCAAATTAAGACTGATAATATCTAGTATCTAGGTTGATAACTCCTAATATGTTCTGAGCACCAAGTATAGACAAAGTAGAAATCATAATAACCATTCTTTCATCTTAATCTTAATCTTTGTGACGTATTATACCTTCTATTCTACAGATAAATTCTACGTTGTTGAGATCTCAGCAAAGTGAATACTTTGTGTAAGGTCACACCAATATTTCAAATCAGATACTTTTTGTTTAAACATACTGCCTTAAAAATATTTCAACTATATTGTAATCTCCAATTTATATGCTGCACTGAACTTAGCATGCAACATTTTTTTTACAGTATTTCAGAAACTGAATCCACAGAATCCCTTAGCTTTTTCTTCAACTATAACAACAATCTGTCTTAAATCTCCATGGTCAGAATGAACGAAGACCATACACAGGCAGGATCCTACCTCAATGTCAAATTCAACTTCTCCTGGTTCACGAACCCGGTTGGGATCAGAGCAAGGCTTCGCACGGGGCAATTTCCGGGGAAATTCTAAAACACAATGGAATAGAATTATTATAAAGTTAAGATTAGCACCTAAGAATTACTATAAATTTAAGATTAGCACCTAAGTGAAATCATCAAGGGAAAGAAAGATTACAATTTTCTTGGAACTAATAACAACCAGCAATTTAGAGAAGTGAGGAATTAACTCAAAGATAAGTTTTTAAAGCAAAGTAAACAACAGAATTCTCTATAGCCTGGTAAATCAAATATCAACAAACTCTAGCCTAAGGTCTTGAGTCTATGGAATGCAACAAAAAACAAATGTAAAATGGTCAGGGCAGAAAGAAGAGATACCCACTTGGTCTTAATATCAGGGCTGCCTTCTCCTTTCCCAGTCGCTCATCAATTTGCAGTTCATCATCTGAATCCAAGTCAAACTGATCTTCCATCACCTGTTCTGTCACCAACTTTGACTTGCCTGCCTTCTTTGCAATTTTGGCTCTACGAGACTTGGTTAAATTCTTCACTTTTTTGGTACTGGAGAAACAAACAGGGAGTATACAAAAAGGGTCATGTGAAATATAAAGATGATAGGGCTAGGAATGTAGCTCTTTGATAGAATGCATGCTAGAAATGTACAAATTCCTAGGTGCAATCGTGACTACAAAAAAAAAAGTAAGATAGAAAACCTCCTCAAATTGCTCTATAAATTCATGCAATTCCTATCAAAATCTGCCCAGTTTTGAAAAATGATAGTAAAAAGTATATATCTGTATAAATATATACATACACACATATCTCAGTAAAGGAAAAACTTAAAGTAGCCAATATTGCTGTGAAAAAGAGCAAAGTCAAGAATTTGCTTCAAACTTCAAATCAAAACTTACTACATGCTGAAAAGGGAGGGAGGAAGGGTGAACAAATGTTAACTATGCTATTCAGTATACACTATGTGGAAAATGACATATGTAACTTGGGGGCAAGGATGGGAAGGGAAAACTGGGAGAAAATAAAGGGGTGATACTGTCCAAAATAAGCCATTAGCAGACTTATGAAATAGTAGCCCCTCTGTACAACACCTTAATAACAAAAAACTTATTCTAAAAGGACTTACTATATAGCTACAGTAGTCAAGGTAATGTGATGCTGGTGAAAATAAATGGAACATAATTGTGAGTCCAGAATAAACTATTAAATTTAAGATAAAAATGATACGCAGACAACTAGCAATCCACTTGAAAAGAAATGAATGTGGACTTCAACCTCGTATCATATATAAAAATTAACTCAAAATACATCATAAATCTAAGAATAAAGGCTAAAACTATAAAACTGCTAGACAAAATCAAAAGACAATTCCTCTCTGATCTGGGATTAAGTAACTTTACTGCTTCAAAAGAAACCATGAAGAAAATCCAGGCATGGTGGCATATACCTGTAATCTCAGCAGGAAACTGCTGAGCCAAGAGGACCTCGTTTAAGGCCAGCCTGAACTACACCTATTTTAGAAACAGAAAGAAAAAGAAAGAAGAAAAAAGGGAGGAAGTAAAAAGTCAAGCTAAAGAAATGTTTGCAAATTATTTATCATTTGTACACAGAATATTTAAATGACTCTGAAAACTCAATTATAACAAGAGTCAATTTGCCAGGCACTGAAGGCCCACGCCTGTAATCATAGCTATTCAGGAGGCTGAGATGTGAGGATCGCAGTTCAAAGGCAGCCCAGGCAGGAATGTCCGTGAGACTCTGATCTCCAATTAACCACCAGAAATCCAGAAGTGGAGCTGTGGTTCAAGTGGTAAAGTGCTCACCTTGAGCTGAAGTGCTCAGGGACAGTGCCCAGGCCCAAAAAGACAAAAAGAAAAGAAAGGAAACAAACAAGAAGATACTACTTTATACCCATCTGAATGACTATAATCAGAAAATAAAACAATAACAAAGCCAGGCATTGGTGGCTCACACCTAGCTATCCAGGAGGCTGTGATCTGAGGATCACAACTCCAAGCCAGCCTAGGCAGAAAAGTACATCAAAGAAACTCTTATCTCCAACAAACTACTCAGAAAAAACTGGAAGTAGTGCTGTGGTTCAAGTGGTAGAGTGCTACCCTTAAGAAAAAGAATGTCAGGGACAGTGCCCAGCCCAAGTTCAAACCCTAGGACTAGCACAAAAAAATACAATAACAAGTGTTAGCCAAATATATGGAGAAACTCGTGATTGCTGGTAGAAATGTAAAATGGTAGAGACTTTGGAATGTTTACCAGTTTCTTAAAAAGCTACACATAGACCTAAAAGTTTACTCTATGTGAGGTCCAAAGATTTAAGTCCACATAAAAACCTGAATACAAATGCAAAGAGCATCATTATTCAGAAGAGCTCCAAAGTAGAACCAATCCAAGAAATTATGGAGTTGGAGGTGTGGCTCTGGTGGTAGAGTGCTAGCCCAAGCATCAGATACTAAGTTCAAGTCCTGGCCTTAGGGGAAAAAAGTATAAATTACATTTTAATGTAGCATATTTGTGGAACAAGAGTGCATCACAGCTATAATCCTAACAAAAAAAGACTAGATATAGGGATGTGTGGCTCAAGTGCAGAGTGGCAGACATAATGAAAAAAATGGAGAGCAAAAAGCCTTAAAATCAAGCCACCGTACTACCAAAATGAATGAATAAATGAAAAATGTTGCACATCTATAAAATATATTATAAAATCACCAGATAATGATACATGCTTTATTATAGATGAATTGCAAAATCATTATCTGCTAAGTGAAAGAAGTCAAACAAAAAAAGAGCACAGATACTCCATTTGTATGAAATTTCTAGAAAAACAAATATAGAGACAAAAAGTAGGTTAGTGATTGCTTAAAGCTAGGATGTGAACGGGTATAAAACGAACATTAACAGACCTTTTGGGGTAAAAGAAGTGGTCTAAAATTGGATTGTAATAATGGTTACAAAAATCCTGTAGATTTATTAATTTTGTAAAATGTAAATTAGAGTTACATGAGATCATGCATTAAATCTTAAAAAGTTGATTTCAATAGATGAATGGATCCAAAAATTGTGGTATCTATAAACAATGGAATATTATGCAGCCATTAGAAAGGACAAAATAATGGCATTTGCAGGGAAATGGATGGAGCTAGAAGAAATCATGTTGAGCGAGGTAAGCCAAGAGCAGAGACAAACGGCACATGGTTTCCCTGATAAGTGAATGTTAAATCCAAAATGTAAGGTGATATGACAAAATTAACAAGACTTAAGAAACAAAGGACTTCCACTCATCTGGTCGAATCACTACTAAATTAACCCCATGCTGCTGATCACATATATGGTATAAATGTGCACCGGAGGGAAACCAGGAGGACGACACAGAACTAGAGGAAATCAGGGAAAAACATAAAAAAGCGGGACCCATCAGCTGCACTGGACATTGATCAAATTGAACTAAGCAACTCAATGGCAGCGAAGGGAGGGAGGGAACAAGTGGGAAAGAGGGAACAGCTGATGCTATGCAAAACAAAAGAAATGTACATATCACCCAATGTGGAAGAAATAACTGTATTGCAAAGCTCATAGAACTCATAAATGTTATAGACCATGATAGACAATGACCCATGAAAGTCAGAGAAAGTGTTTGTGACTTTAACTAAGCCTCACTATCCCACAATACTGTGCAATTTGGGAAATTATATAACCACTTAATCACAATAAAAATTTTGAAAAAAAAAGTTGATTTCATAGGAGTTCAGTAAGAATAGAATAATGGTTACCAGACTGAGGAGAATAGGAAGAAGCGGGGAAGGTCAGAATAAATTCTGGGGCTTCTGTGGAATAGTAAGGTGACTATAATTAACAATGATACATTATATGAAGAACTTGAATGTATTCACTATAAAAAAATAATTACTGCGCTGGGAAAGTGGCTCAGTGGTAGAGTGCTTGCCTTGCATGCATAAGGCCCTGGGTTCAATTCCTCAGCACCACATAAACAGAAAAAGCTGGAAGTGGCACTGTGGCTCAAATGGTAGAGCACTAGCCTTGAGCTGAAGGACAGCGCCCAGGCCCAGAGTTCAGGCCTTATGACCGGCAAAAAACAAAACAAACCTCAAATTGATTTACTGTCCAGTATCTTATAAACCAAACATTATACTGTCTGATAAATATGCACAAATATTAAGTATAAAAATATACATATACAAATGAAAAATAATTCAAAAGTAAAGTATAATCCTATTACACATGCTAAACAATATAAAACAGTTAAAAGTTTTTAGTAAATTAGTACATTTATATACATGTAACAAATAGACTTTTTGTTGAAATTGTCTTTTGGTAAATAGGCTGTTGTTAAATTGGCCTGTTTTCTACCTCATGGGGTTGTTGGGAGGATTAACTGTACAAATGCAGATCTTAACACATCAAAAATGCCCAAAGGTAGCTAATAGTATAGTTAAGTTGTCTAGGTCTCAGTTTTCACAAGTAACATTAAGATAAATCACAATATATTGAAGCTATATTGAAGGTTGTTGTGAGGACTAAATAAAATAACATATATAAATGGCTAAGATAGGAGTTTGGCACAGAAAATGATGTTCTAAAACATAGCTATTTATACTTTGATCTTTTATTAACTTATACTTATGAAAAACCATAAACACACACAAAAACATAAATATATAATGAACTTGCATGTCACTCAGCTTTCACACAAGCAAAATCATTTTATCTACATTTTACTTGTTACAAACCATTGAATTTGGAAAAAAGCTCACATATATAATCTGTAAATATTTATATACCTTGACTCTCTAGAATCAACTGATTCTATTTATGAAAGCTGTAGCAGAGAACAGGAACAGCACAGGGAGGAAAACATTGGGGAAAAGGAGATAACGCATTGCATCCTCAGTAACCATTGTAAACTGAGAACTCTCTGGACTAGAATGGTAGAGGATAAGCAACAAGAAAGCAAGTCAAGCAAGCAAAAGGTTTTGAATTCAAGCCCCTGAACTGGCAAAGTAAAAAAACAAAAAAACTCAATTTTTTCCTCTCCAAGAGATCTCTACTAGGTGTTCTAAAAAAAACACATAATAATTCCATTCTCTTTCAGCTTAATCTTTAGCAACTAGTTTCTTGTAAACCAAGAATACCTCTGCTGCTTTTTGAGTCTACCCTATTTTTACTATGTTACCTTATATTCCAGTCAGATGGACCTACGACACTCACACTTGTGATTGGAAGAGAACCTTTTGCAACAAACAGACTATTAAGGTATTCTTATACTTGGCTTTTGATGGCTGCTGTTTAGCATTTTGAGTGTACAGATGATAACCCTTACTGCCTTTTTCTGCCTATCTCCCAGATATTCCAAGGTTTACTGTTGACCTACTTAGCTTAAGACCATCATCACTTTTAGTCTCCATCTTTATCAAAAGGTTTATAAGGGCAACCATTTATTGATCATATACAATGTGTCTGTGATAAGAACTTCACAGTGCTAGGCACTGGTGGCTGAATTCTAGCTACTCAAGAGA